CTAGAATCAGGAGTGACAGGCAGGTAGGTGTGAGCCCCTTGACTGGGTTCTGAAAATGAAACATTGGTCCTCTGGAAAAGCAGCAAGAGCTCATCACCACCAAGTCACATTTCTACAAAAAATTAAATAAATTGAATATATATATATATTCAATTTATTTATTATTTATTATTTATTTATTATTTAATTTTTTTTTTCGAGACAGGGTTTCTCTGTATTGCTTTAGAGGTTGTTCTGCAACTTGCTCTGTAGACCAGGCTGGCTTCGAACTCACAGAGATCCGCCTGCCTCTGTCTCCCAAGTGCTGGGATTAAAGGCATGAGCCACCAATGCCCGGCATCTGAATTATATATTTGTATTTTAAAATAAATTCCCTCATTGTGTTTCACACTGGGACACACCCTACTCTTAAATGACTCTGTAATAAAAAACTAAGTCAATTTCTGAATGAAAAGGGAGAATACTCACATTTTGATTGAATACAAGGAAGTTTTAGTGCTGTAAGTTAATCATGGGAACAATATTTTCAACTTTGGCATTAATTCCATTAAATGTAAATACATGTATCTCAGTTAAAACAGAAGTATGTCAAATGATGTGACAGGAAACCATTTCCACTATCATACATTTATTGGAATTGAGAAATTGCGTGTATTCTCACAGATGAACTTATATCATTTTTAGTAATATATGGTTTAAGTTGATGGCATGTTTTCTACAAAGGCTATCAAAATAGTCATGTTGAGACTTTTCTAGTTTTTTTTTTTTACTTTTCTATTTTTTAATACAAAAAATTAAAAGCAAGTGCTATGCTGTTAGCATGTTAGTCTCTAATACATTTGAGTAAATATTGCAAGCCAGTTTTATTATGACAACAGAGCAGTTTCTGGCCTGCCATTTCAGGTCTATGACTTCAGTATAAGCTGTTATGATGGTATGTGATCACAGTCGTTGGGAAGCTTTGCTTTTACTCTCACTAATACATTAATTTTTATCATAATTTATTATTTTTAAGTACTTTTAGACACACTCTCCTGTGAAATTAGAAACATACACATCTGATGTGGTTGGAATGTGAACACCCTAATAGGCTCATGCATCTGTACATTTGGTCCCCAGCTTACAGTGCTGCTTGGAAGATTGTGGACATGGGATGTAGCTATGGGGCCATGGAAGTGGGTACAGACCAGGCCTACTCCCCAAAGCTTTCCGCTTCCTGGCTTGCTTAGATGTAACAAGCCATGTTATATCCTCCTCTGCCATGGATGCAGTCAAGTCACAGTGTCTTCCTGACCATGACGGACACTGTCCGTTGGGAATCAAAGTGAAACCTCTTGTTTTTCTTAGGTAGTATTGTGACACAGAAATGAAGTAATCTATACATTATCATGATTACTTGTATTGGTTTTGAATGCATATGGTATGAAAGAAATGTTGAATAAATACTTAGAATTGTGATTTTATGCATATGTGTAACATAGACGTATATATATATGCATAAAATCACAATTGTATTTTATATATGGATACATATATACATATATATAATCACCTTTATGTTGTATATATGTGTCTGTGTCTCCATCTATGTTTCCAGGCTCGTAAATTTATGCCCTAGACAAACATTGAAGTTGGAATTTCTCTCCTGTCAGGCAGATCATGGAAACTCAGAAACGCAGTCTTGCCCTCCCTTCAGAGTAGCATAAGGAAATTCCCTACCTTATTTTGTCACAAGAGCCCCAGTCCAGAACAGTTCTGCCGCGTGCTGTGGATGCTGTGTGAGATGTGCATACAGTGAGTATGTGAGAACAAAGGAACATGTCTTTCTAAACTAAGAGGCAAAACATTAAAAGGTGCCTGTTTCTTTTCAAATATCACTTGAATCAAATTCCCAAACTTTTGTTTTGCCTTTTTTCTCCTTTTGGCACTTGTCAAAAATGAATCAAAAGTTTTCTGGTTAACTGTTCCATTGAGAGTAAGTATTTCAATATGAAACAATAATATATTTTGTATGTATAAGTGGATCTTAAAAAATATAGAGTCATAGTCATACCCTGCTTGACAACCGTATTGTGCTCTGGAATTTTAGGCAGCAGAAAGGCCAGATGTCCATGACTCCTTTGAGTGAATGCCGCAATGACTAAGGACCTTACCATAGGTTCCACCTTTTCTATTTCCATCTGCCTGGGGACCAAAGCTTTAGCAATTCACCTCTGGTAGACATTCACTCTAAACATAATACATACTAGGTAATAGAAAATTTTCAACTCCATTGTAATCTTGTGGGCCTCTGCCTTACATGTGGCCCATTCTTGACTGTGTTGCAAAGGATTACATAATTTCAATAGTAGGGCCCTTCTATTTTAAAAAAAAATTGAAATAAAAGAGCAAGAAATCTAAAACCTGATTCTTGGACTCAGGATATGATAAAGATGGTTGTGCTATCTAGTTTTATGTCAACTTGACACAAGCTAGAGTTATCTTGTAGGAGGATACTTCAAATGCCTCCATAAGATCCAGCTGGGGGACATTTTCTTATTAATGATTGATATGGGAAGGCCCAGCCTATAACTGGTGGTGCCGTTTTTGGGCTGGTGGTCCTGGGCTTTATCAAAAAGCAAGTTGAGTAAGCCGTGAAGAGCAAGTCAGTAAGCACCCCCTGCCCCCGCACCC